GGGTTCGAAGGAGGGGCAGAAACCTCCTGAGGAACCTCCTTGACCCACGGGATGGAAGGCCAAGAGAAAGGCTCGGCAGGACGGACAAAGATAAATCGGTCGATCCATTTAGGAAGATTGGAGGGGACGTCGTTGATGAAATGAGCACCATTAAGACTCTTTAAGTACATGCCTCGACCTTGTTTGGAAGGGGCATAACAGTAATGGAAGAAGGCAAGGTCAAATCGACCAAGGGGGACGTGGCAAAGAATGACAAAATTGGTCATAAAGTGGATAGCGTTAGGGGGAAGTTGATGAAGAGGAAGCCCGAACCACTCGCAGATCTGAAGAAGATCAGGATTCAGAGGGAAACGAAGACAAAGTTTAAACTGGATTTCGAAGAAAGTGTAGCAATCCCGTGGAGGATGGTCGAATTTGTCAGAGGGAGAGGACCTGAAAAACGCCCAACCAAGCGGTTGGCCGATTTTGTCGGGTTTGAACCAAGGATGAGAAAGAGAAGAAGAAGAAGTGCGCTTGGAAAGTTTTTTGGTCGAGGACTGTTTGGGCGGAGAACTCGAAGAGGGAGGAGCAGTGGGCTGCGGAGAATCGACCTCGCACTCCTCTGGCTTGTCTGACGCACCAACGGGAGGTCGACGTTGGCGGAGAGGAACGTTGTCCATAGTATCCCCAGAGTTTGGAGAAGCGACGCGGGCGGTAAAAATGCGAGTGGGAACTGTATCGCCGGGGCGAAGGATAGAGAGAGGGACAGCTTCGAGCGCAGAGGGTAGTATTTTAACTGAATCAGAGGAGGTCTCAGAGTCTGAAAAGAAAACCAAAACAAAAACAAAGAGAACAATATCAAAAAAGAAGCTGCCGCAAAGAAGAAACAGGGGAGAAGAAAGATTAGGGTTTTGGGGGAGAACAATCCAAAAACCAGAAGGAGAATTCGGGAAGTAAAGGGACGGAAATTTCAAAAATTTTCAACGGAGAGACAAAATCCTCAACATTCAATAGACAAACAAAAATATTCCGAGCGCAAATTCAACACAAGACAAGCCAATTGGAAACAACTCAGCAGACATATCAAGAGCGCCCAATATTGAAAACCCAAGAATACACAAAATAGAACTACAAGGAACATAAATTCAAGTGTGAAGAGACTTACTCATAACCATGGATTGATAATTGATGGAAGTTCGAGAGAGCGCAGGAGAAACCGCCGAGAGAGTAAGGGTCTTTTGCAGGGAGAATTCTGGGCACAGAGTAATTCGAAAACTGAGAAGGTGGAAAAAGATGAAAAATACGCTAAGTATGGGATTTATACTTTGGAGATTGAAGGGTGGAAAGATAAGGACCGTCGGATTAAAGGTGGATCCAACGATGGGGAGTATTAATGGGCACGGAGCTCAAAACGGATGCGTTAGGCGAGGAGGCGCAATAATTAAAGCGCCTGACACATATTACAGACGTGACGCGTGGCAGAAAATGGGTGCGACAGAAAGGACTTAAAGCAGATAAACTTTATTTCTAGTGATTAATGGGGAATTATTCGAAAAAAATGAGCGGGAAGTTCGCCAGTTGGTCGATACCTAAAGACGAACCATCCAGAAGGACGATAATACTAATTCACTCTTAGATCGAGTCGTTCAGACTCGACCAGAGTGGGGAAGACTAGATGATATGGGATATTATACCCACAAGGCTGAGCCGGTCTGCTGACCGGTCGAGGAGGTCGTATTATGAGGAAGCCAAAGAAATCGAGCAGTCAACAAGTCGACCGAGCAAGGCTGTCGACCAAACTATCCTTCGACCAGATGCATGATCGAGCAACCTATTCGACCTCAACAGGTCGATTAATTCGAGGACTTAATACCACGCTGTTTGGCCTAGTCATAGGCGCGTGAAGGGAGCCTCTGACAGAATTCCAGGAGAATATTTACCCCATGTGTGGGGAGACACGTGTCGAGAAGGCAGTGGTGAATAGTGATAACCACCTCTGACAGCCTACCCCATGTGCAGGAGGACACGCGTCCAAAAAGGATTGGTGCAGGCGATAGTGGCGACGGCTACCTCTGACACACGCGTTTGGTGTGTACGGACGGGCAGTTAGGGCAGACAGCTCATCAAATCCTCTCACCCCTATATAAAGGGAGTGAGCCTTTCTTCTTCAACACGATCATTCCACTACTTACTCTTGAGAATTGATTGAATACACACTGACTTAAGCTTCGGAGGCTCTTCACCGGAAAACCCCTCCGGTGTGAGAGTTCTTTGCAGGTGCACGACGTTCAACCGGTAAGAAGGAAGGCAATTACTCAAGTTCCAGCCGGTCGAGGAGTTTTGTGTTACCAGGCACGTAGTCAATGTCCTGTTAGACGGTATAGTTTTATGACCTCGAACGCATGTGAGGTATTCAACAATAGGGTGCGTTGGGCTCGGATATTGCCAATTTGTGCTTTGTTTGAATGCATTAGACACATTTTGCAACAATGGTTTCACGAGAGGCGGATTGAGGCAGAGAAAATTGATGATGAAGTTCCTCTCTAAATATCAAAGAGATTGGTGGAATATAAAGCGCAAGCTCAGAAGTTCGTATCTTCCCATATAAGTCACCATGTGTACCAAATCAAGGATGAGGTACCTAATTATGTTGTCAATCTAAATGATCGGACGTGCACTTGCCTTCGCTTCCAAGTTGATTTATTACCATGTCCACATGCAATTAAGGCTATCGGGTAATGGTTTATTTTATTTTATTTTTATAATACTCATTGTTGATTAAAATAACATTTTGTGTCTCTTGCTTAATCTGTTATTTTTAGGACTGCAAATGAATCGGTATATGGCTATGTACATGAATACTACAAGACAACAACCTTGCGCAGACTTTATGAGCCGATAATCATGCCCATTGCTCATCCTAGCGAGTGGATTTTACCGGAAGAGGTTAGGGCATTGGTTGTGCAATCACCGACTAATCCAAAACAAGTCGGACGACCAAGGATGATCCGTATACCATCCACTGGGCCTTCTTCACGTTCAGGAAAATCATCATTTTGTACGCGTTGTAATTAACGTGGGCATTACTCCACGACTTGTTGTCGTGTTGTCCCTCAAGTTGATCCCTCGACTGCCGCTTCATCATCAGGAAAAAAAGTTCGTAGGTGTGCAATATGTAGACAACTCGGCCATACTAGACGCACTTGCACACAAGTGCAAATGTAATCATCGTTAATGAACGTTTTTCTTTTTCCTTTTTTTTTTTGTGGCCAAAACATAATAAGGATGTTATTTGTTTGAATGATTTGTGTGTGGTTATTGACTTTATGGGATAAATTGTTGTTTGTATTTTTGTTATGTTCATGTAGTCATCGTTTTATAATTTATTTGTTTTTATATTCTTTTAACGCTCTAGGTGTAGTTGTTTTTTATGCATTCTTAGTGCCTAAAGTCGCTAAAATTGCCCGTGTGTGTGTCGTGCCGGGAAACCACGCGAATGGTGAATTATTCGTAGTCAATGGGCAAAGGATTGAATTTGTGTCGAGCTCCCGGCTTTAAACCGAACAATTATTTATACTATTTTATATATTTATATATTAATTTATATATATATATATATATATATATATATATATATATTAGCCTATTTCTCTCCTTTAAAAAATAATAATAATAAAAAAAAAGAGCAGCAGGTAATAGCGGCGCTAAGTTGCCTTAGCGCCGCTAAGGTAGAACTAATAGCGGCGCTTATTCTTGTTAGCGTGGACAGATAGAATCCGCTAAGGTGGCTTAGCGCCGCTATCAACCCTTAGCGGCGCTAAGGTCTGCTACTTATTAAAAAAAAATAACGCCTATTTCCTCAGAAATCACGATCAACTTTTGAACACCACTCAACCGCGACCTTCTTTCTCTCACTGCGACCACTTCCGACCGAGAACCTCCGGTGAACTTTCCCGACCACCGACCAACGTTGCAATTGCAACCTCTGCATTCCCTTCAACATCACGTACTGTGATCACAACAACTCTCCAACCCTAGCTCGAGGCACGCGTTCCATCTCCGACCATTCAAGCCACTCCGGCGGCTCACCTCCGGCATCCACCTCTGACCGTCTCCGGCGTCATTTTCTTATCACAATCCTCCAGCAACATAACAATTCGGGAGTTCGTTGTTCATTCAAAGATCATACACAACCCTAGCACACGGGACTTGTTCAATTCCGGCCGAAACTCACTCCAGAGGTACCGAAAGCTTCTTCTTATTACAATTGGTTGAGTATTGTGGCGTGAGGAGGCCAACTCTGGGACCCTACACGTTCAAATTGTTCAAAAGCTTTCAACCATCCAATCCGCCCACCAAGTGTTCGACAAAATGCCCGAACTACAAATCATGGGCAAAACGACCGGTGCTTCGAAGAAGAAGGACCCCGCTGCTTCAAAGTCCAAAGCGGCGGCCTCCACGAGCTCCAACCCCAACCCGACAACGTCTCCCTAATCCTTAAGAGCGCTCCATTGCATCCCATTTGATGTCGTGTCCATGGACGAGGTCACGGCTTATCAACGGCTCTCTTCCAAGCCTATGCCCAACCCACGCATCATCGATTGGGATTACTTCAATGACGAGCTCGAGATCAATGAAGAAATTAGCCGCTACATCAAATTGCTCGACCTCGAGGAATTCGAGGACATGGCAGTATATACTTATCGGGGTTTGACTATCAAGTTTTTCTGCACGGTCGCCAGGCACGAAAATGGGAAATACCTTACTGCTCGACTTGAGGGCACGGAGTACAAAATAACCGACAAGGTGTTGCGCGACATTTACAAATTCAACCCCTCAATCGAGACACGTCACAATCCCATGGGATAGAAAGTCGACCCACATTGGTCGGCCATCTCCCCGTGCGAGAAGTATAAGAAAGTCGGGCCGTCTTCAAGTCTAATCAGCGATTTAGCTCAGGTGGTGATCCATAAATACATATCCCACATGATCTTTGGAAAGAAGGAGTCGAATAAGGTCAGCGAGCAACAGGTATTCATTTTATGGTCGATCTCACAAGGCAAACCAGTGAGCATGTTGCAGTATCTGAAGGAGTCACTCTTCGACGTACGGAACGACTCTAAGCGTGGTCCAAACTTGGGTCATGTGGTGGCACAGTTGGCCGAGTACTTCAGGGTTCAGATTGATGAACCAAAGATGCGTGCTAAGTATATTTCGAAGAAAGATCTCTCTCGTGACTTCCTCATAGATGACACCACCCCGCTCCCAGTCCACCGCCGGGATGGCTACAAGGCCTATTGTAGGGAGATGGGTTTACCCATACCAGACGCCCAATCCCAGCCAGCAGCCGGTACATCCACTGGCCATACCCGAGCGGCCTCTCATCACAGAGCTAGTGATGACTCAGAGTCCGACGCACATCCCGAGCACGATACTTATCAGCCTCCTCCGTTGATGGACAGACACCCAAGCACACTTCCACAGCAGGCTCCCGTTTGGTTCCCTACATTCGAGGCTCGGTATGATGAGAACCAGACTCGGAATGACGAGCAGAACTGGGCCCGTTGGACGGCGTACACAGAGCAGAACGAGGCCCGTTGGAAGTCCTTCTTGGTGACCAACGACGAGCGTAGGGCGGAGCAGCAAAGGCAGTTGAACGAGTTCAAGAGGAACAACGAAGCGCATTGGACTGCCCATGACGCCCGGTGGGACACATGGGAGGCGCAGCAGTACCAACATCCACCACCGCCACCATAGGACGCAAAATGACAAGTCACTGTGCTTTGTGTTTTTCTTTCTATTTCTGTTAGGTTGTTTTTATTTCTTTTCTGATCTTGAACGTTGGTGTATTGTAAGACTATTTCTCTTAGCTTGAACTTCGCAGCAGTACCATTTGCTTTCCCATTTCTTTTTTTTTTTTTTTTGCTAGATATAGATTTCTGGGTTAGAAATGTGATTTGTGGCCTAGAAATCAATTTCTGGGACCAGAATCCAATTTCTGGACAAGAAATTGGATTTCTGGACAAGAAATTTGATTTCTTCTCTCGAGCATTTAAACGAGTGGGGAAGTGCACTTTTCGAGTATCGTTTTGCAGAACCCGAGAAAGCGAGGATCGAATTTTCAGCTTGGGCAAGACCGGAGAGACGCTAGCCGAGCACACAAGCCCGAGATGCCAGATTTTTTATGCTGTCCAGACCTTAGCGGCGCTAAGGCATCTTAGCGCCGCTAGGGTCAGTTGGTTAGCAGCGCTTCATAGCTTAGCGTGTCCAGACATCTGCAGCTAAGGCTGCTTAGCGGCGCTAAGGAGGGTTAGCGCTGCTAAGGTCAATTGGTTAGCGGCGCTTCATAACTTAGCGGGTACAGACAGCTGCAGCTAAGGCGGGTTAGCGGCGCTAAGGAGGGTTAGCGCCGCTAAGGTATGAGATCGAGCCTAGGGCGTAGAGGGGAGTGGCTGGACTTCATTTTTTTATGTTTTTGGGGTGCACAAACATATTTTATCTTTGTTTTCATCTTGGATTAGATTTTGGAGCATAAAAACGTCATCAATCATCATATCGATTTGGATTTCTCGTTGTTCTTTCGAAATTGAATTGCGTATTAATCGTAAGTTCTCTTTTTATTTTCATTGATGAGTGTTATGTGTTTCTTTGATGATTGATCATCATCCTAATTTCGGTGTTCGAATCTTTCGATTCCGATAAAAATATTTACAACAACACTTCAAATATTAGGTCCAAATGCAAGATAGATGTAACCTTAAGGTCCTCAAAGTACCAAATACATTACAATTTGCAGTAGCATTACACAACAAAAGCCCCAAAATATGACACTATATTAGGTCCAAATGCAAGATAGATGTAACCTCAAGGTCCTCAAAGTACCAAATACATTACAATTTGCAATAGCATTACACAACAAAAGCCCCAAAATATGTCACTAATTCGACTCGGGAGTACTATGAGCATAAATTGCTAATGCCATTTTCTTTCTATATGAACTCTTGTCCGGCTCTCGGGGAATGTCCTCGCCAAGCATACGTTCAATGTACATACAAGCATATACTCCACAACTATGGATATCATCTTGAACAAACTGAACTTCACTCGGCATTCTCTTTATTGATAAGGCATCTAACTTGGGCGGAATTTTCCTAGCAGCAAAGTAACCGAACCGGTGAAGTAGTGTGGGAAGCAGTCGTCGGAGAGGGTCAACATAAGATCTCGGTCATTACACGCCTTCGACGATGAAAGGTGGCTAAAGGAGTCGTAAAGCTCGATCTCCCAATCCAATAACCGTACCCGATACACCACCCAGTGCTCGATAACATTACATACCAAAATGACCTGTCATCCGAAGTTACAAACCAACTATATAAATGTTACAAGTACATTTAATCTCTTCTAATAATTTACCAATAATTAAGAACAAAAGAAAAACTTACATCGGATTTGTATGCCAAGGAGATCCACAACGAATAGCAGTACCACGAACATAACTAACCAGACCCGGAGGAATATTCCAACTCTCACAATTTGCGACGTCTGGGTAGCTCTACATACATTGCAGATCGTCGGGATGAAGCACTTTCCATTGATTCGATAACAAGCCCTGAAAATAAGTAGTAAGCAAAATCATTCAACATAATATAAATTAATTAAGCAAAAATATAATTAGTGGAAAGAGCAATTACAAATAGAGTAGAATCCTGAATGTTAATTGTTGAAACAGATACTCCCGACTTCAATTTGACCCCATTGTACAACCTCCGAGAAAGCACGTCCAAAAACGCATCGATATGCTACAAAAAATATAATTATATTAATTCTTTGAACTACTACATTCGAGTACTAATATTGAATTCTTTAGAACCCTTACTTACCTCGGTAGAAAGCATATTCCTGACACCCTCAATTATTTTAAAATAATCTGGCCCTTGGTATTGTGCCCCAACTTTTAACCTAACAAAAAAATAAATAAAAAGAGAAAATCGCACTTAAAAAATTCACATGTATGCTATAGATTTAAATTAAAAATATAACTGTCATGCTACTTACATTGGAGATTTCTTCTTCTTCCAATTTTCGTGTTTCACCTTTAATTGCTTCTCAGTTTTCTTCTCCCGGTAGTCAACAAATGGTGAGGAAAGCTTGCTATTTTTGAACTTAACGCGAAGCGTTCGACCTACCACAACACCATCACCATCACCATCCGTGAATCCACCTCCTATTGTCGGCTTTTGAGTGATAGCAGCTACATCCTGTGAGGGGCCAACTTTCGCAATACCCTCATCCTCATCCACAACATCCTCACCTGAAACACCATGATCACCGGACTCCGGTACTTGTGTTTTTTAACAGTTTGAAAGAATTAAGATTAAAGTCGATAGTTTTTTTAAATTTTTAGACAATACAAAATATTACAAACTTAAAAAAAAAAAACAAACAAATCTTTCGGATGTAAAGTTGTAAACCACCAGAATTTTCTTGGATAACACAATAAAGGTGCGTTGCAGATAATACAAACTTACAAAATCAGATTTTTGGTTGGAATGCTCTCTTTCTTGCCTTGATTCTTCTCCCTTCCCCAAATCATCCTTCCCCAAATCATCCTTCCCCAAATCATACTTCCCCAAATCATCCTTCACAGTCTCCAAATCCTCAAATCTGAAATGCAGCGCGCTTCGAACGATTAGATAAGCATCTAATCGTTTAATAACCTCTGAAACCGCTGAGTCAACAAACCTAGGCAACAACCTAGCAAAAGCCTCTTCATTTTTTTTCGATACAATATTGTAACACCCCACTTTGATTTTAAAGAAATTCCGGACATTCCAAAAACCAGTATAAAATTTTCGAGATCATTTTTGAAATTCTATGGGTATTAAACAACATTTTTCTTAACCCAAGTCATATCTGGGCCCACGGGATTTCATTACCCGGATTTTCACAAGGTTTTCATTAACCTGATTTTCAACATAAGTTATTCAGCTCGTAAACGAAGGCATGAAATAACCAAACACATTATGACTAATTCACATTAGGTTCATCAAATCACCCAAAAAATTCAACATACTCAAACAGGAGT